TTTTTTTTTTTTTTTTCAGGACTCGCATGGAATCGAGGATCCAGAGGCGGCTCTGGTCACGGACACGTCTCAGGATGTCAAAGTGCTGGGAGGTTCGCAAAACGAAACCCACACGAGCGTAATCTTCTCGCGAAACTGGCAGACCTGCGATCCTCAGGATCATCGGCTTACGGTAAGGCTGGAAGCATAAAAAATGGTATTAAAGACTTTTTTGTTCATTTAAATCTTCCGATTTCCTTTGAATTACTATATATATATATATATACTTTTATGCTGCTTGTCGTCCCGGTTTTATCCTCCTTTCGTTCAAGAAAATCACTAAACATTTAAATACTGTGTGATCAAGTTGAACCAACGATTCGTATTTGTCTTCATCGTTGTTCCTTTCTCGTTTAAGAGTTATCCATTTTTGTTTCACACGCTTCAAGTTTGCCAAGAAACTCAAAGACAACTGAGAGTTCAGATAATTTTGAACGCTAGCTTGTATGCTAATAAAGTTCGAGATAAAGGATCATGTTGCCTCGTAACTCGACTTGGAGTAATTAGAAGTCACGGGAGAACAAATTGTCCGATATTCGATTCCACCTGACGGAGTCTGGGAACTGGCAATAGCCGAGAAGATTTACAACGTAGAGACAGAAGCGCCGGTAGAATTCGCGGAGAGAACCACCTCTCTTTTTCGATTTATGCCCGGCACGAGGGAAGCCTGCGACTTTAAGAGGCCCTTTAAGACCCCGCTACGCCGAATTCCCGCAGCGATATTTAGGCGTTTAGCATGCCGTCCACAACCCTCATGCGCCTCCTTAGTAATTTTCCCATTCTCGATCCACAGTGGGTCTGGCCAGCGTGGCATCCAGCTCATTAAAATACTTTTTAACGAACCTATTTCCTATATCGAGCATCTCGTGCAATCCCAACCAGAAGAAGGCCATTACGGTAAAAAAAAAGTAATTCTCGCTTGCTATCGCAGGGAGACACGATTCGAGTCCTGTGGACGCTTCATTCGAGTGACCCTGAATTAAATGCTGCTATTTGGCCTGGTGACAAACGTGGTGGTAGAGCCTTAAGGCTCAAGACACCTGCTCCTCACGCGCCTCCTCGATATACTCAGGACATCAAACACTGGGACGTAAAATTGAATCAAGTAAGTAGAACTTGGAAATCATTTTTTTAATTTACGTTACGTTCCACAGACTTGCTACTTAAATAAGAAATGTAGGATTTCACTCTAAAAACTATTAAATAACAACATTAAAATACAAAATATTTGCTCCATGAAATAATGTAGGTTTTATCTCTAATTTTTTCCTATAAGAAATTGTATATATATTATGATTAATTGTGTTTCTTTTTTATCTATAGCCTCCAGTTTCAGACAACGTAGACACTACCTACTGGTGTAAGATTTTCAAAGCACCTCATAAGGAGAAACACCATATGATCGGGGTGAGTGGTCAAAGTTTGCCAAAAAGTTTGTCAGAATAGATACTTTGATACGCGTTTTGGAATAAGTTTCGTGCGCGATGAGAGCACGGAGGAATGCCATAAGGTTGGGCCTGATTCGTATGTGCTCCACGAATCACGGTCATCCATGCCGGACATGGCACTGTGTCGACGGACGTCATTAGAATAAAGAAGGGTTTCGGAATGATGTCATTCCGTGGCCGAAACGTTCCTCGATTGTCAATGGGGGATCTCTCGTATGCTCGTGGAGATTTCTCAGGAGAGGAACACACGGTTCAATCTAGTATTCCGAAACTGCCTCGCGACGCGATTCCTTTGCTTCTTAGAATTCATGCGATTAACGATACGTTGAGTGAAAATTGATTGATGCTTCAGTACACGCCACTCGTGGAAAAGCAAAACGAAGATTTGGTTCATCATATTATATTGTACGAATGCGCCTCGACTTTACCGATCTTGGGGCAACATGCGAGAATCGTTGGAGCACCTTGTTACAGTCCTACAATGCCACGGGAGTGGGAATCTTGCTTGCAACCGGTACTGGCCTGGGCACGCGGTAGTACAGGTAAACTGAAAGGAAAGTCGCGAAATTTGAATTTCAATTATGCAACACGTTCAGGAATAAACAGTTGGTATAACGAATAAGGTCGTTCAATTTTCCTCGATTACAATACGATGCATCTTACAGGTGAATGGCTTCCGGAACACGTAGGCTTTCCCATCGCGGAGCATCCTGAAGGTTCTTATTACATGCTAGAAGTGCATTATAATAACCCGGGTATGAAAAAGGTGGTGGACAGCAGCGGAGTACGTCTTCACTTGACTCCGAAACTTCGTCCACAGGAAGCGGGAATTCTCGTTGCTGGGGTGGCCGTGAGTCCTCTTCACCTGATTCCTCCTAAACAAAAGGAATACGCCACGGCAGGTTACTGTACTCCTCATTGTACAAACACTGTACGTAAATGGCATTCTTTTGTTAATCATAAATTAGATCACGGATGTCCATGCAAATTCATATTTTTACCAAAATAATTAACCAAAAGAATCTTGAATAGAAATCTGTTTTATACTACGTTTCATTCTACTTTTGTTCATCTTTAAACTTTTAGTAAATGTATGTAAACACTATCGTTCGTTCGTTAACTGTGAATTATTCTTACAGATGTTCCCTAAAGGTGGTGTAAACATCGTTTCAGTAGTCTTGCATTCCCACTTGGCCGGTCGTCGTCTGAGCCTGAAACATATTCGCCAGGGCAAAGAATTACCCAGAATAGTCGAGGACAACCACTTTGATTTTGACTATCAACAGTCTCATACTCTTGAGAAGGAAGTGAAAGTCCTTCCAGGAGACGAATTGGTGGCTGAATGTGTTTATGGTACTCTAGACAGAACGAAACCCACTTTGGGAGGGTACGCAGCATCTCAGGAAATGTGTCTGGCCTTCGTGGTACATTATCCGAGAACACCACTTGCAGCTTGTTACAGTATGACGCCGATAAAACATCTGTTCAAAACACTTGGCGTGTACAGCTTCAAAGGTGTTACTATGGACCATCTAGAAAAACTGTTCCTAACAACTAGGTAAGGTAAATGTGACAATAGCAATATAAATAAGTATATGTGATTCATCTTACCTATTATTCCTGGTTCTTATAGAACGGATGCTGTGACCATTTCTTCCACTGGACAACAACAGCTTCCTATCTACCCTGCTACAAGACTCAGCGAAGAAATAGATGAGAAACTTATAAGAGAGGCAAAATCTGCATTGATGGCTATGAAAGATTACACAGTAGAGAATGAAAAATTACACGACAATGATAATGTTTTCTCTCGATTGATCATCGAGGAACCAGAAGAGTTCAGAGGTAAATAATACGAACGCCTATATACTGGGAAACTAATCTGAAGACAAGATTTATATAGTTATATTAATAATTATTACTTCCAATAGGACGAACATTGGCTGAACATATGCTGGCATTACCTTGGACCGAAGAACTCCTTGCCAGATCCATCGAACGGAGTTTATATCATGGCAGACACATGACCTTCTGCAGGAAAAGAGACGATAAACTTGCCTTGGTATGTTGGATTTTAATTGTTTAAAAGCAACAATTAAATTAATAAAAAGATCTTCGCAGTCCTTAAAGAGTTAACATACCTTCGTCGATCATAACATATTTTAGAATTATCGATTGACTTTTTCTTTACAGCCATCAGATATACAAACGTTCCCAAATTTCACAGCACTGCCAGAAACGAACGAAACGACATGCAGCGAAACAGCAACACTATCGAGTGCATCGAGAAACTTGTACTTCAACATTTCAATTCTCATGATTCTCATCACAACGATCATCGTTTCCTAAGATTATGATTAACTGATTGTACATTAACGATCCAAATGAAATCAATCCATCTTATTCGTACGTCTTGTGTGTACGAGAGACTGTTCGAAACAGGCTAAAAATGAGCGAAATCATATAAAGCAGAATAATTCATGGACAATTTCTCCCATTTCAGCGTTCGGGAGACGGCAAGATTTTGGAAAAATTTTGACGGTCCAATTTATATATAGAAATATAATATAATATATATGTATAATATAATGTAATGTAAATATATCATCTACATATTTATAAGGTATCTGCGCTACAATCCTTTCCTGTATTTTATATCAGATTTGTATAAAAAATAAACCAGTCTGTAAAAACTGTATTTGCTAAATATTATTGCAAATTCTCTTTCTCCAAAATTAACATTGACGACATCAATCGACGACGCAAGATTAAAGAAGAAATATATTACAAAAAAATTTGTGAAAATAGCTAAGTTTCTAGTTAAATTTCAAATAATTTTGAACTTTCAAATTGCCGGGGTCCCCTTTGTTAGTCCGGCTGCATTTCACTTGCAGAATAAGGAAATATCCGGATAGTTCATGATCAATCTAGCGATTACTTTCAAGCTCAGCCACGAGGCAACCGGGTAACCGATATATCAGCTGCCACGCAGGTGTCCGGGCATTGCAATTTTCTAGATGGTTAACCAATTACGGAGGCGTTTGCAATAGTTCTCGACCCGATTTCATTCACGGTGATTTTCACCTATCGAGATATGGGGTCCCATGTGGTCGGTGCTGATAAGCAATGAATTGAACGGGCATCGAATTATGGTGGCTTTCTGCGGGTATAAAAGCTCGGCTCCTTCGGGCACAGAGCATCAGCAACTCTCCGGAGCTTCAAGGAAGAACACGAGAAATCCTCCGCCTCCTCAAGGAAGAAATTTCTGCACATCTTGCTTCGTACGAACAAACAGTTGCTAGTACAAAAACAGTAGTAAGGTAAGTAAGATTTCTAAAGAAAATTGTAAAAATATTTTAGAAAACGTACGTGTGATAGCATGAAACCTTTTCAAAACTTAAGAAACTTTTCGGTGTTAAGGATGCGACGTACAAGATACGTTGCATTGCCAGTACGGGCTTGGCAGTATGTCGGCCTCTTGGTGGTGTCCCTCGCCTGCCTGACATTAGGGCTGGTCTCCAGGGATAAGGAAGGCCGAGCAGGAAGTCTGGCAGGGCCTGAATTGAAACATCAAGCTCCTCACGAGTAAAATTTCTTCACTTCTTGGAAAGAATTCTCAAGATCATTAATAAATAGAATTTTGCAATTTGAAGTTGAGCTTATTAAAAATTTAGAATTTAGAATTTAGTGTCACTTTAGCTTATTAGAATTCTCGAATCTAAATTTAATTTATCAAGCACTTGGAATCCAGAATTCTAATACACTATTACATCCATATTGTCTTCTTCGCAGAGTGGATGCCTGCCCAAATTTGAACCCTTTCACCAAGATGCCTTCTTGCTTGACTTTCGAGCAAGACCAGACCAGGATTTCGAAGACGACCAGAGAAACTAGAGACTCCAGGACATCCCCGATACAAATTGATCTCAGAATATCTCGATCTCGAAGCTTAGATCGCGTCTCCAGGGCTCGATCTCAAACTCGAGTTGACTTTAGGAGCATGGAGAGATCGGGAAGCAGACAAGGAACGAACACTGAATACAGAATCCAAGATCGTACAAGACGTATGTCCGATCCTGCGAATCGACTTTCCCGATCACTGAATTCGAAGACCACAGAGGAATTTGTAGAACGAAGATTGCTCAAAAGGTCTATTGATTCAGATAGACGCCGCGAAGTAAACAGAAGAGTAAATGATCGAGAACGTAATCTTGCACGATCCACGGAATCACTTGTTTCTAACAACTTTCGTCGAGAAAGGAACGAACGATCTCTGAAGAACGTAGATCCACGTAATCGTATGCAGACGATAATCAGACGCGATTCTAGATTGGACCAAGACCGCAGATCTCTTACCAGATTGGAACAGCGAGAAGTAATTAATGAACGACAAAGAATTAGTCGTTTAGATCGTCACATGGATGCCAGGGCAAACGAGCGACGAAACTCTCCCATTAGATCGGCAAGACGTTCTATAGATAATCTGGAAAATCTGGCTCGTGAACGACGTGAATCTCGACTCGTCAGGACGTCTGACATTACTAGGAATGATTTAAAGGAACGACGAGTTAGAGATTTGTCTAATGATCGAACGTCAGAACGTCGGTCACTTGCAGATTCTAGGAGAAGTTCAGAAAAGCGGTCTGCATCCGTTGATTTTCGAAATCGCGAAGAGATTAAGACTGATCGTCGACTCGCCGAACAAAAAACTAACCGGCGACTGATGGAGAGGCGATCCACATCTGTTGAATCTCGAACTCGTGAAGATGAAAGAGCTGATCGTAGATTCATGGGACAGAAAGAGAATCGTCGAGTTGTGGAACAGAGAGCTGATCGTCGAGCTATAGGACAAAGGACTGACCGACGTCTTACGGAACAGAGAGCTGATCGTCGACTTAAGGAACGAAAAATTGACCGTATGATAAACCAAAATGTAGATCGCAGACTCTCTGAAGAAAGTAACCGTAGACTTAACGAACGAAGAACTGATCGTCGTCTGTTGGACCAACGGGCTGAACGTCGACTTATGGAACGAAGAACTAATCAACAATTCACAGAACAGAGAGCTGACCGACAACTCATGGAAAGACGATCCACACGTATCGAATCTCGAAGTCGCGAAGAAGCCAGAACTGATCGCAGGCTTATGGAACAAAGGACTGATCGACGACTCATGGAAAAACGATCTATCGAGTCTCGAGCTCGCAAAGAAACCAGAACTGATCGCAATCTTATAGAGCAGAGAATTAACCATCGATTTGCAGAACAAAGGGCCGATAACAGACTTATGGAGCAAAGGACTGATCGACGACTTGTGGACAAACGATCCGTATCTGTCGAGTCTCGAAGCCGTGAAGAAGCCAGAACTGATCGCAAACTCGTGGAAAAAAGAGCTAACCGACTAATTATTGAACAAAGAGCTGATCGCCAACTCACAGAACGTCGTCTCGCAGAGCGAAGGATTGATCGACGAGACTTACTCGCAAGACGATTCGACACTAGATCACAACGAATTGGCGCTACGCTTATTCGTCTTGCGAATGATATTCGGTCCACCCAAAAGGAACAACGATTCGCTGAAAGAATTCGAGATAAATTTGCGAACGATATCAGACGATCTCGCTCCGTAGAAAGGGAGCATGTTCGTTCTGCAGACAGAGATTCTCGTTCTCGAAGCCAACCAATGGAAGATACAACTTTCCTCCGAAGACAACCACGCTCTCAACAACGCAATTTTAGGATCTCCGTTAATGCACGTACATTAGCAGTACGAGAGAAAGCTCTGGCTCGCAGCAATGACTTTATACCCAGGATGAAAATTTTGGGCGCCGCAAACATCCTGAAACGAGAGAACTCCATGAATCTCAACAATCTGACATTTGAAATGATTCGTCAGGCATTCGTAATTGGACTTTGCACAATGTATGGATTATCTATTTTCTATGGCAAACGTTCTTTCATTAGGTAAGCAACTATTTATTTTCATTTGTAGTCTAGTAGAATTAAAGATACTGATTAATTAATAAAATTAATGAAATCTGACCATTTGTTACAGGAACTTCGTGGGGCAGGCACCACAGTTTACTATCTGGTAGGATTCTTATCCAACGGAAAACAACGATTCGCTACTTCCAAGACCTGCTTTTAGTCGTTGTCCTTGTGTAATAATTCTTGTGTAATAATTCTTGCATTATAGCGCTATGCATTGTGCTATGCACTTAATGAAAACCTGTATATTAGTGTACAGCTGATAAATGTATCCTGCATAAAGACAGAAATGTATCGCATGTATTTAGAAAGATCTATTTTATCCGAATAAATTGTTCAAATTAAAATCAAATATTGTATACTCACTGTAAGCATTTTCCCGAAACAATTCTTCCATCACAGAAAATGGCAACCATGATAATGATGATGATGATAATCATAATACTAGAATATGACAGCATAAACATACATCATATTAAAGACATATTAAGCTAGATGGTCAAAGAGAAGAGAAGTAATTTATTAAAGTCATCATTTTATGGTTTGTACATTATGGCTGTTTGGCTTAAAAGTAATTAAAAAGTAAGTAAAAATGCAATGATTTTGACATATATCCAGTCTTGAAGAAGTAACTATATTCTGTGTGATTATAATGATTTGATAAAAACAGGTACAACCTGAAAGCAAAGAATTATCTTCTACAATCATTCTGTAACAAAGTTTTGAATATCATTATATCTAGGACACGTCGAATTTGTGCGATATGTGTGTGCTTCATTCGTCGTGAGAGTATAAAGTCAACTGTGATTGCTAAAATGTTTAATGAGTATCTCTAAAGTGTATATAAATATACGTATCGTACAACTGGACGACTCGATTATAGATGGATTCGTTGATGGCGAAGAATGAATGAATATAAATAAGAAATAAATACAATTATTCGAACAAGTCAATACGATGTTTAGCATACTCTGAAAAAGCCTCGTGTAAAAAATTAACTCCTACCGCAACTTCGGAAGAAATCTCTCTCTTTTCTTTTTTTTCCCCCACAATGCTTCCCCCTATATTCGTGTGGTCTACCTATCCGTTCGCCAAAACGACAGTAAGTACAAGGCTAATGCTAGTTCCGAATCGGAAGCAATCAAGTTCTTTCCCAACAATTTTTAAACCTACGTTATTAGATAAATAAAAAGTCTGTCCTTAGTAAATATACATAGATCAAAATATTTCTATGTTTTCATTTGATATTTGACTATTAGTTTTATTACTTCAACTATGGACGTTGTCCATGCGTATTGCATGCACAGTGGCAAGAAAGAATGTCGACGAAAAGTTACG